AAAAATTTTAATGATGAAATACATTACAAAGTAAAAAAAAAAGCACTTATTAAATAGAGAAATCACTTAAAAATTCATGCTACAAAAAATGTTACTATCCAAAAATCCTAAATATGTAAGAAAATAGAACAGGAAAAACACCTCATTCATCTTCTATTAGGTTTTAATATTCTTTTTCTTAACCAGATAATTCACAAAAGAAAAAAAAATACAAATTGCAAAGGTATGTATATATATATATTTATATATATATATATATATATATATTTATATATATAATGTATATATAGAAAAGATGTACAGCCTAATTTAATTAGTTCTATAACAACTTCAAGAAAATTTGTTGTTGCTGCCAGAGTTTCAAAAATGTAAAAGATACTTCATGATCATGGTAGGTTTGAGGGAATTGAGCCCTCTTAGACATCATTCATAGAGGGTTAAACTGTGGAAGTCTTTAGAATGCAATTTGTAATATTTATTAAAAGTTTTCTACTCTTTGAACCAAATATTTCACTTGCACGTTGCTATAAAAATACATATATGCACAACAAAAGATTGTTCAAGGATACCCGCTGCCGTCTTGGCTATTATATTGGAAAATCAGGAACAATGGAATAAACTTCCCTGACTTATTTTTATAAATGAGCCAGAGAACAGAATGCATTACGTTCATGTAAAAAAAATAAATAAATAAACTGTATGAAAATGTAAAGAAAAAATTGCTGGATTAATAGAGACCAAATAATAATTTTACCTGTGAGGAGGGTAAAGTGTTGACAGAGTAGGGAAGGGAAAGAACATTTTCACATTGTATTTCTCCTTTGTTTAAATGCTGTACAATTAAAATGCATTCATGTGGTATTTGTGTTTTGAAAAACATTAAAAGGATACCTAGAATATGTTTACTTCATTGCACAAAAATAGCAGCATGAATATTTATAGTTGGATAACTAATAATTAATCATCAATTCCTGCAAGAAACATATCTTGGCCAAATCCTGTACCAAAGATTAAGTCAGGCAGTAGTAATACATGAATGAGACAAAGCCAGGTCCTGAAGACCATCCAAGAATCATCGGGGGCCCAGAAAGATAAGTGGTTGAGCTACAAGGTGACAACTGCTATGGCAGAGGTCTTCAGGGTGTCACCTTATTCTTACTGGGGAAGACAGGAAAGGCTTCAGTTAAGGAAATGCAAGTGAAATAATTTTTTCATGTGACTAGTACTGTTCCTGAGAGACGAGTGAGATAAGAGTGGGAAGAAATTTCATATAATGGGCAATTTTCTACTTGTCTAAGAAGCTAAAGAGAGCATGATGTGTTATAAAAATGAAAAGAAAGTTTACACAGATTAGTAGCAAACCTACATGAAACATGTACTAGAATTCAGTGAAATATGAATAACTTAACCAAGTAAGTGCAGGGCACTTGCCTGAATATCTCATTTTGTATTTCTTTTCTTGCATTCCAATAGGAAAGTTATTTTATTATCAATAAGAGAAAGTTTAATATGTACTTCAATGAGATTTGCTATTTTCCTGGTTAATTTGTATAAAAAATAATGAAATTGTTTACTTCAAACATTTAAGGCTTCCACAGTTAGCACTGAAAGCAGTGTTCTGTCTTAGTCAACAAAAATTTAATTTTTGAAAAAAAAATTCATCCAACTAAATTAAATTAAATATTCCATTTAAAAATAACTTCCAACATTTAGTGCATATATGAGTCAAAAGATCTCTTCTTTTCCATCTCCATCTGTCCTATGTCTTTAGGATATCACTACTTATTTGTTTTCTTACCCTCAGTTCAGATCCACACAGATTCATCTGAACTACTCTTTTAAGTTCCCTCAGTCCTTCTATATGGCCTGGCTCTTTTTTAAAATAAAAAATGTTACAGCTGAGAGATAGATATAGATACATAGATATGGGTATATATAGATAATATAGATATAGATATATAGATAGATGCAGATATAGATGATATAGAATAGATGAGAAAGAGAGAAACAGAGACAGATAAAGATAGAGATAGAGATGATAGAGATAGCGATAGCAATAGCGATGATAGAGATAGAGATAGATAGAGATAGAGATAGAGATAGAGATAGAGATAGAGATAGAGATAGAGATAGAGATATACAGATGATATATATACAAAAGCACGGGCTCTACAGTCAGACCACATGGGCCAAAACCTAGCCCCATCGATTACTGGCTGTGTGACTCTTTAGGCAAGTAATTTGACCTCTCTGAGTCTCAGTTTTCTTACCTATGAAGTGAGAATAAAAATAGTAGATATCTACTTATCTCATAAAATTGTTGTGAGAACTGAACAAATTCCTATATGTAAAACAGAACAGTGTCTAGGCCAGTGGTTCTCAACCATGGCTGCACATTAGGATCACCTGGGAATCTTTTTAAAATCCTGATTTCTGGGCCTCTGGAGGATGAGGTGATTCTAATGTGCAGCCACAGTTGAGAATCACTGGCCTAGAACCTTGTTAGTGCTTAATAATTATTAGCTCTCTGTTAGATTCCAATCTCTCTCTCTCTCTCTCTCTCTCTCTCTCTCTCTCTCTCTCTCTCTCTCTCTCTCCTGCCTCTTTCAATGCAATGTTACATTAAATACATTCTCTTTCTGGCTTAATGAAATAACTAAACTTCTATATCAAAATAATCTTCACACCATACCTTATATTTTCTTCAAAGTCTTCATATCTTACTGTAGAGCAAAAGCTGCATCTTAATCATTATCTCCACACATCACTGTACCAGTAGGCTTTATTCACCTCTGTTCTAAATTCCCCCCTACTTAGATGGTGCTGTGGTAGGGAACCCACATCTGCCCCATTCTCATTAGATGACTACATTCACCTGGCACGGACTCATTAGTGATTTCCTTGCTGATAGAATGTCCTTAGATTTGCCGTTGAATGAGTAGGCAATTTTGTGCTTAAAACTCCACATGCCTGGTCAGAATGAGGCACTGATACAGCATCACTCATCAAATAAGAGAATGTATTAGTAATAGTTCTTGGCTTCCTTAGTGATAATAGAAAGGCAAGGAATTTTATTTTGTTTTTATTTTATTTTATTTGAGAACATCTATAATTTCCTCTTTGCCATTTTGATGTGTTCTTTCTTCTACATTATTTCTTTTTATAAAAATCAACCTCTATAACCTGACCCTAACCTTTGCCTGCTGTTACAGTAATTATTAAGCCTTCAATATATAATCCCATTAGTTTTAATGAATTAGAATGCTATGGGTGGTATAATTATTAGTGCATGAAAGAGAATTGAAATTTGATTGTATACACAAATTGTAAAAACAGTTTCAGGTCCTATGTATGAAACAATGCTTATTAGTAGAACAAGTTATATGTTTGTATCAGAGAGATAAAGATAGACTGGTTTTACACAATTATCATAGTAAAAGATGTGGTAAAATGTGAAAAACAGGTGATAAAAATTACCAATGACCTAACGGTTAGGTCGGCAAACTGCGGCTCTCAAGCCACATGCAGCTCTTTGGCCCCTTGAGTGTGGCTCTTCCTAAGCCTTAGGAATACCCTAATTAAGTTAATAACAATGTACCTACCTATATAGTTTAAGTTTAAAAATTTGGCTCTCAAAAGAAATTTCAATCATTGTACTGTTGATATTTGGCTCTGTTGACTAATGAGTTTGCTGACCACTGACCTAACCTGTAGCTTTTAATATCAGATTATTAAAATTAAAACTGCAACTGGATGTGAAATACAAAATACTAAAAAATGAGTTTGCTTCATCACTCTTAAAATTGAGTAAATATATTGCATTTATGATCAACATTATTTCTAAGGAATTTTGCTGATGTAAAAAATAAAAATCAACAAAAAATGTGGAATTTAATGATTCTTCAAAGGAATAGCTGATGTTAACATTATAAATATAATTATAAAATATGGGAATCCCTGTTCGTGGTGTGAGATATGGGGGGAATGGTGTTCTCTCTTCCTGCGATCAGCAGAGAGAGAGAGAACTCGGGGGTTGATGAAATCTTGAATAGAACGCGACGAGGTTTAAGGAAAATTGAATAAAACAAGACTGAGACAGAAATAGAGGAAAGCTGGGATGGGTGTGGCGTCTGCTCTCTGACAGATGAACAGGGACCAGAGACAGTGCAGCAACTTTTATTTATAGCCAAATACCAGGAAGTTTTACTAAGGGTAAATAGAAGGGGGAATGTGTGCATTCTTGTTGCTTCCTTGTAAATAGTCACCTCTGGTGGGTCTGAATCGCATTAGTTCCTCGTGCCTGACTAGATTTTGTTAAGAACCCATTTCCCAGCACCTGGCTTTGAAGGTCAACTGAGGCATTCCCACCTCTAGGTTAGATATGCCCCCAAGATAAGGCTCTGCCTTCATCATGGGTTCAGTTGACATGAATTTAAAAGAAAGCCAGCGCCTTCCCTGGCAGGGGGCCTTCCACAATAAAAGTAACACAAATATTTCTACAACTAGCATAATCGACTTCTGCTACAAGAGTGATACACATTTTGTCCAGAACAGCTTTACTCTGAGGAATATTTATTCCTATCTCTCAGCATAAGTTCTTCATAATGAATTAAGTTCAGAGAACATTATAAAAAGATATACCAGTATATTTCAAGAAAATAAATGCTGAAGCTTGAAGGCATTTTCCATCAAAACTCAAATATGGCATAATGGTTATTTTGTAGAGTTCATTAATAAAATTGGAAGGATATTATTAACCTCCAGAGGGTTACATTGAACTTACAGAGAAAATTGATCAAGTTCCTTCTGACCCAGAAATACCCTTTGGATGCTATTGATCAAGAGTTTGGGACACTATTATAATTCATCTCCAAACACCCGGAATGTGAGTAAGAAATTGTTTCTAAAAGATTTATTATTCAAAACATTCAGACTATTTAGCTCCTAGAGGAAGTCCTAAGGGCATGAGTTTTATCGTGGAGATCCGCAGGAAAACATACCTGGCTAAGCTGAAGGCATCGTCGATCAAGCCTGCTCGATTACTGACTGAGAGAATCTGTGAGGTCAACCAGAAAAAAAGTGGAATCACTCAGGATTAAAATGTCAGGTTCACATATTACAACAGATCATTGATGAGTAAACCCAGTTTACCTCATGGTTCCTGATTAATTGATCAATTAATAATCTCCAATTCCTTAAATCATAGTTGACTCTAAAATAGCCAGTTTGATTGATGTTTCCAAGCAACCAGCTTCCTTTGTCCAAAGAAGTTAGTCTGTGGTGCTCTGAAAATAGCATTTTGGGGATAAAATAGATTTTAAATTTTCAGGATTAAAATGGTATGAAGTATGCAGAGTATGAATAATTTAAAAAGAATACCATCCCAAATACCTAATTAAAATCTCTTTAATCAATTAATCACTATAGCTAGAATTTGCTAGAAAACCTTTAATTGTTTACGCATTACCTCAATTAATTTTTTCTTATAATTAACATTTTTGTTCTTTATAAAACCCAATTACCTGAATGTATATTTTTTCTCAATAGAAATATAACCAAGAAATATACTACTATATTTGTGTGGCTTCTAGTTAGTTTGTATATGGATATGTGGCTAGAATAAAATGAAAGGTTTTAGGTGCATATCCTACTTAATTCATTCAGTGGAAAATGGATTACCAATAGAGCTCATTTATTTGAAAGTCACTGTTATTTCCTGACATTTTTCTTGTTCTTTCTTGAAAGTACTAATAAATAACAGACTTCTCAGCATCATCAATAATGCTGGAAAAGGGAACTTCATTTGTTTAAGACACTGATATTACTACATATAATTAGAACAAAGATAGAAATTCTTCTTGTTTAAATCACTTTGGAAAATGATAACTTGATTATGTTCTCCAGTAATTCAATTAAAGCAAACCAGTAAACCAGTCTTATAACTTACACATTTAACTCCATCAAATACAGAGGGAGAACTACATTCACATTTAATGCCAGCCTTTACTGACTTCACTGAACCTTATTATCATTTAGATGTTGATTTCCTCAGTACTCATGCTTCTCAGAAATTAAATAATGTACAAAGTTTACTTAAAATTTATACCCATATGTGTGCATACACACACACACACACACACACACACACACACACACACACCCCACAGGTCTTATTTCCACAATTACTCAAAACCAGAAAATGCAACATAGAAACTATATATTTGTGTCCAGTCTGAGTAAGAAGCACAACCCCCAATATTCACTCTATCATCAAGGTTTTCACACATTGGACTACAAAACAGGCGTTTTTTTTTAAAAAAAACAAACAAAACAAAACACTGAATTTACAGAATACACTCTTTCAAATAGAACTCCACAAAAGAAGAGGTTAAACCACAAAAGTTATTGGGTGAACATCAATGACCATTAATTGTTTAGGTCTGGATTGGAATGGGCTAGTTAATCCAATGCATGTTATACATTACCAATTTTCAAAAATTTACAGTAAAACAAAATACTTCTTAAACATAAAAGTATACTGAACATAAAAATCTAGTCTTCAGTGCTTTGAACAGCACTTCAAATTCTTGCCATCTTTATTAATAGTATCTATTGGAACAGATAAAGAAATGAGGCTCAGACAGGTTAACTGACTTGTCCAAGAAAGCTGGGAATGGTCCACTTCAGGTCTCTTGACTTTGGTGACTTTATAGTGCAATATACTCTTTGATACAAGATGATATAATGCTTTCATTGTAATCTGATATACATTTTTCACATTTTTATATTAGTTCTAAAGGGAGGATAGCACTAAAACAAGAATTAGAACAGGAATAGAAAATTGACCTCTAGTTCTAGTTTTCCTATATATAAATGTTTGGACTTCAGCCATTGGTTCTCTGGTTCACAGTTTCCTTACCTATCACCTAAGGGCCATATGATGGCATTTAAGGTCCCTTCAGTTCTCTGACTAGAAAAGGAGAGATTTTTCTTAGTTTGAGATTTTACCCAGCTTAATCCATGGTGGTTAGGAAAATAAGTCTGTCAGCTATTACTCTAAAATATTAATAACCTCCCAGGTTTCAGATACTTTGCATATTTTTCAAAAATGTAATGTGTTTATCCACACAATTTCTGTGACTTTAGAATGTTATCCACTTTACAAATTTAAAAATAAGACAAATAATTAACAAAAATATGCATTTTTAAAAACTAAAATAATCTCATAATGACATTTTAATTAATCATGTCTGATTCACCAAAGAAAAATCCTATCTAATAAAAGAGAAACATGGTAATTAGCGTACAACCGCTGCCCTTCCCATTGGCTAATCAGGGCGATATGCAAATTAACTGCCAGCCAAGATGGCGGCTGGCAGCCAGGCAGCTTGAAACTAACATGAGGCTTGCTTGCTTCAGTGACGGAGGAAACCAACGTTCCCCGCCTGCCTTGCCAGCCTCTGAGCCTGCAGTTTGAAACATTGTAACAAATATAGAACCTAAACAAAACCCCAGAAACCTGCTTTCAGCGAGCCAAGCCGGGATCTCAGAGCTGGAGTTATACATTGTTTCGAATATAGAACCCAAACAAACCAGATACCTGCTTTCAGTAGCAGAGGCCTCAGAGCTGGAGCCAGAGCTAAAGCTGGCCCAGAATAAAAAAAAAAGAAAAAAAGGAGCAGTTGGGAGCTTCAGCCCTCAGCCCCTCACCCAGACTGGCCAGGCACCCCAGTGGGGACCCCCACCCTGAAGGGTGTGTGACCAGCTGCAAACAGCCATCATCCCCTCCGCCAGGCTGGCCAGGCACCCCAGTGGGGACCCTCACCCTGATCCAGGACACCCTTCAGCGCAAACCAGCCAGCCCCACCCATGCACCAGGCCTCTATCCTATATAGTAAAAGGGTAATATGCCTCCCAGCACTGGGATCAGCGTGACAGGGGGCAGCGCCCAAACCTCCTGATCGCCCTGCGGCTCCCTGTGTGACAGGGGGCGGGGCCACAACCTCCCTATCTGCCCTGCTCTGTTTGTAACAGGGGAAGGTGCCCCAACCTCCTGATCAGCCCTGCTCTGTGCCTGATACGGGGAAGCTCCCCAACCCCCTGATCACCCTGCAGCTCTGTATGTGACAGGGTACGGAGCCCCAACCCCCCCCCCCCCCCACACACACACACACACACGGGCCCTGCTGTGTGTGTGACAGGGTAGAGCCATAACCTCCCCATCGGTCCTGCCCTGAGTGTGAGAGTGGCAGCGCCCCAACCCCCTGATTGGCCCTGCTCTGTGGGTGATAGAGGGTGGCGCCCCAACCCCCCTCCACGGGTCCTGCTCTGTGTGTGATGGGGTAGAGCCATAACCTCCCCATTGGCCCTGCCCTGAGTGTGAGGGTGGCAGAGCCCCAAACCCCTGACTGGCCCTGCTCTGTGGGTGATTTCAGGCGGCGCCCCAACCCCCTGATCAGCCCTGCTCTGTGTGCAACAGGGGGTGGTGCCCCAACTCCCCTTTTGGCCCTACTCTGTGAGTGACAGGGGGGAACTCCTCAACCCCCTGATCAGCCCTGCTCTGTGCGTGACAAGGGGGAGCTCCCCAACCCCCCTGATTGACCCTGCTCTGTGTGTGACAGGGTAAGGAGCCCCAACCCCCCCTGATGGGCCCTGTTCTGTGTGTGACAGGGGGTGGCGCCACAACCTCCCCATTGACCCTGCCTTGAGTGTGACAGGGGGCGGTGCCCAAACCCCCCAATTGGCCCTACCCTGAGCGTGACTGAGGGTGGGATCGCAACCTCCCGATCCACCCTGCTCTGTGCATGACAGGGGGCAGCGCCCCAACTCCCCAATCAGCCCTGCTCTGAACCTGACCAGGGGCTGCACCTAGGGATTGGGCCGGCCCTCTGCCACCCGGGAGCAGGCCTAAGCCAGCAGGTCGTTATCTCCCGAGGGGTCCCAGACTGCAAGAGGGCACAGTCCAGGCTGAGGGACCCCCCTTTCCCCCCAAGTGCACAAATTTTTGTGCACCGGGCCTCTAGTTAAGATATAAATGTTGAGTATAATATTATTAAATTCTTAACTTTAGGTTCTTAACTAAAACCTTAAGGTTATTGCCATGCATTAATATGTTTATACATACCTTTGTTATAAATAAAATCATTGGAAAAATTATTTCCTAAAAGATTTTGTAATATATTGTTTAAATATCCTTTCTATTCTAGTTAATTATATGCCTAAAATGTTCCTTAAATTAATGACAAGCAATGAATTTTAAAGAGATCTTTTCCAGGGACCTAATGAGGTACAGTGGTGATGAGTACCATAATAAAGAGTATGGGAGTTATATTTAAAGTGTTAGTAATTTAATTACAATTAAAAATGGTATTTAGAAGGTATCCAAAATGGCTCAAGACTTAAACTAGGCACAAAGTAGTTGGACATTTATATTTTATGTTTCTGTATTCTATACCTTCTTTTGGAATAACAAGAGAAAGGAGATTAGGCCTTTCTACTTATCATTGTCTGGTTGCGGAAAAATCAGAACTTAAGCGAAAAGTCAACCAGGTAACAATGTGCAACAAACTCAGGTATAATAACACATACTGGTTCTCTCACTGGAATCTTAGGAGAATCAAATTAGGTAATTCTCTGTAGAAGCAATAAATAACCATATTGAGTAATTGACAGATCTGTAAAGCAAGCTGCTAAAGTATTAAAAACTCTCTCTTTTCTCTCTCTCAGTGTGTGTGTGTGTGTGTGTGTGTGTGTGTGTGTGTGTGTGTGTGTTAGACTAAATAAACTTAGAAAAGAAAACCAAGCTCCTAAGGCACTTTGGGCAAGTTACTTCTCAAGCCTTAATTCTCTAATTTGAAAAATAGGCATAAAAATAATATTCAATTTGAAGGCTTATGAGTTTCATATGAACCAATACTTAAGGAAAGCACTACAGCATCATGCTATTTTTAATTTATAGCCAGTCAGCATGAAAGCTACTACATTTTAAATATATACATCCTCAGTACTGTCATAGTAAAAACAAAAGAGATGAATCCTTTACCTATTTTCAATTACTTATAAATTGGTTTTAAAACTTTTTTAGGCTAACTTGGAATTAATTAGATATTCATCCAAACAATATAAACATTGAAGTGTCAAGAGTTTATGATTATTTATATCAAAGGTATACGATATATTATTTACCATGACTTTGCTTTAGTATCTTGTGAAGTTAAATCTACATTACTGATAATAAAAATTATAATAACAGCCCTAGCTGGTTTGGTTCAGTGGATGGAGCGTCAGCCTGTGGACTGAAGGGTCCCAGGTTCGATTCTGGTCAAGGGCATATGCCCAGGTTGCGAGCTCGATCCCCAGTTGGGGGCATGCAGGAGGCAGCCAATGATTCTCTCTCATCATTGATGTTTCTATCTCTCTCTCCCTTCCTCTCTGAAATCAATAAAAATATATTTTTAAAAGTATAAAAACATTAATTAATTGTTATAATTAAAAAGTGATTTTTAATCTATGTTGATAGGAATTGACCAGAATATTTTCTTAATATTTTAATAGATAAACAGCTTTCATTGACATTAGTAGACTATATCTGGTGAGGGGACATACAGTGTGGGGCAAAAGTAGGTCTACAGTTGTTCATATGGAAAACAATATAATAATTAATAAATAATAATGCAAGAATAAACTCTATTTCATGTACTCACAATTGTAAACCTACTTTTTCCTGGCCCTGTATAAAAGAAGACAAGAATTTACAAACTGTTTTGCTAATCTTTTCCTAATGTCAGGGTTTTTTTTCCATCATCAATATGAACACCTTCAAGACAAAAGGAAACACAGAATAAGACTGAACGGGGAACAAAGAAAGGCTGCCTTTCTTTTAGCTCCCTCTTAGAAAAGCCAAGATTTATATTTTATGAAGTTTCTAAGAAAGATTTACTAGGTATGAGCCCACAAATTCCTCAACATGTTAACTGAGACAATGATCTATCAACCGGATGACTCTGCTATGTTTAATGGAAAATAACACATTATATTCTGCAGGTTGAACACTGCACAACTTCGGGGTTAGCAAGTGTGCCATTAATATCATAGCCTATGTAAATTTCATTTCCCAGAGTTATACACGGCTCAAACTATGTGGCTGTACATAACAACCATGTGTATTAACATAGATGACACTTTAGACAAACATATGGTTTCAAGTATGTTGTTATTCTAGATTAATACTGAAAGACTATAAATGAAAGCAACTTCTCAAATACAACAAACTGTGGCTATTGGTCAAGAAAAGTTGTGACACTATTCTGGATACTTTGTATGGAATAATAAGATATCACAAATAACAGCATGGAAATAACTAGAGGGTTAAGGAAACAGACCTGGGAGAAGTCTCCAAAAAGAATCTGACTTGCTCTGAATCCCTGCACTGTCTAAAAGTAAAGTTTGGGGCTGAGTCTGATGTTTGGTCAATATCTTTGCACTCCTCTAATTTTCCCATTTTCATTCTACCTCCCAATGAGAAATGCGTTCCTTTATTTCTAAAAACTATTCTTTCTCATGTTCCTAGCAATCATATAAGCAGATGACTTTATTCTAATATTGGATCATTACAATAACAACCTACTGTTTTCACTCATCATTTCATAACAAATTATGTAGGTAAATAAAACAACTACATGGAAGGAAAAGAGAAGTATATAGACAAATAGTACAGCAAATGTGAATTCAGAATCATCATATAAATACTAACTCCAAGAATGAAAAGAATAGATTATAATAAACAATTCAAAATGAGAAACACCATTAAGTTTTACAGTAAGCATTTCAACACATCACATATTAATGTTTTATACACAATATATATATATGAAAGCACATATTTTCATAATATGTGATTATGTGATAATAAAATAACATGAAAATTTGAATACAAATTCAACTGGAAATACAAGTGTTTACATTTCTAGTAAATAGATTAGATTCTGCTGTAAGAACATTTTCTTGTATGTGTATATGTATTTTGAGCACTTATGTTTCCCTTAGAAGACTGAAGTGAATAAATAATAGTCATGTTGTTATTTATTTTGTTTTACCTCATCATATTTAAATATATGTGGCTGTTTAAAATTATGCCTCTGAAAGAGAAAAAATAATATCAATAGGCAGAACATTTGACAGGAGTAAGAAAAGCAAAATGTTGACATACTTGACTATCTAAATCTAAATTAAACATTACATAAAGGGCGATAATTGGCTTTTTCTTTAATTAATGGAAAACAAATAAAAGAGACCCGTTTCTCACTCTAGCATAAAAGATTTAGATTGACTTCAAGAAATAGCTTTCTCGCCCTAACCGGTTTGGCTCAGTGGATAGAGCGTCAGCCTGGGGACTGAAGGGTCCCGGGTTTGATTCCCGTCAAGGGCATGTACCTGGGTTGCGGGCACATCCCCAGTGGGGGGTGTGCAGGAGGCAGCTGATCGATGTTTCTCTCTCATCGATGTTTCTAACTCTCTATCCTTCTCCCTTCCTCTCTGTAAAAAAAAAATCAACAAAATATATATATATAAAAAGAAAAGAAATAGCTTTCTGACAGTGCACTGAAATAGCTCACTATCTTGTTTGAAGATATTTAGAAACAATAGAATCTCATCTTTCTCTGCTCCCTGAGAGTTGACCCTACCTAGGGAATAGTTTAATGACCAATCAAGATCCCTTTCTACTGGCCCTATAATTGCTGAATTTTATGGAAAATGTTTCCTCACCCATTCTTTAAAGAGCTAGTCTTATAAAGAGAAGATAGTAGGAAAATGGAATTTAAAATATGCCCTGTATTTTTAGTATTAGGTATACTTTTCTATTGGGAGTTCTGAATATCACTATAATTATAAAGTGATACCATTTGAAATAGCTAAAATTAGTACTATAAATGCTTTTAAATTTTCTATTTACCATCAAAGACACAAATAAATTTAATAATTACATAGGCCAACTAAAATTAGTCTGTGTAAAAATTACACTATATTATACTTAATTTTGTAGATGTGATAATCATTTGCCTATATTCTACTCTAATCTGTTTTTATTCATATTTTTATAATAGCTAAAACCAGAGGTTAAGTTGTGAAACTTAAGTCAAATAGTTCTAAAACCACATAGTTTCTTGTAAAGTATATATTTTACCTGATTTGTTAGATACCCAAATAATTGCTTCTGGAGACATATGGCTTCTATTTCCTACCACAATAGTTAATGGAATCTGCCACAGGTAACTGCAAAATAAAAGAGAAGCTTTAAGAATCAAAACGGCTATAACAAATAAACAACATATACTTGGCACCTTCTTTGTGATCTGCATTATTCACTTTAGAGAAACTAAAAAACATTCCCCAGTTATAAAAGTAAGGAGTGAGTCAAGAAGATGAATTCACTTTTTCAAAGCCACTAAGCAGACTTGGCCTCTAAAAGTTTTAATTTCAAGTTAAAAGGGGGACTTCCAACAAAACAATTTATCTTGGGAAAAAAAAAACACACAACAGATTTGCATTTTGCATTAGGAATAAAAAAATAGATAAAATCTATAAATCCGATCCACACCATATATTGATTAGTCTAAAAATAACACCTTTCTACTTGTTCTATATTAGACTAATAGACATTTCAGTGGTTTATTCATTTACATTTCAACATTCTCATTTGTTTAGCTATTCTAAAAGATACTATTACCATATTTTTACAAAAAAAATTAAAATATCACACCCAAAGCACAGAAACTGAAAAAGCAAAACTAATCAGATCCCTCTAAAATCTTGACCAATATAAAGAATACTGTGGGGCACATTAATGCTCTGTTTTCTGAAATGAAATTTCCAAATTGATGTGTAAAATCATCCACTAACAGACAGAGATAAGTCATGAGTCTCAGCTATGAAAGAGAAGCAGTCTCTAGAATTTGAATTTTTATAGGATAAAAATTGAGGCCTATACTTGTACATGAAGTATTATTAAATTAATCTCAGAAGAGTAGCCAAAGACATGCTAGATGGTTTTTCAATCAGTTCAATTACTACATATTGTTTCTTTCTCTAATATAACCATATCTTTCTGACCTATTGTTGCACCATTAGCAACAGGGGTAGTAACAATATCCAGCATGGAAATATTTATTTTATTTATTTTATCTTTGATTCTATTAAATTTCATTTGGATGACATTGGTTAATAAAATAATATAGGTTTCAAGGGTACAATTCTATGATACATTATAGGTGTATTGCATTGTGTGGCCGCAATCCAAAGTCAAAGCTTCTTCTGTCACCACATATTTGACCCCCTTTGCCCTTTATTGCCCACACTCCCTCCCCTCTGGTAACCACCATACTGTGGTGGTTTTTGTTTGTTTCAATGAGTGTTTGTTTGTTCTTTCTTGTTTTTTCATTTGTTGCTTTCAGTTTTATACTCCACGTATGAGTGAAATCATATGGTTCTTGACTTTTCTGTCTGACTTATTTCCCTATATTTTATTTTTAAAATGTAAAAAGAGATACTGTGTGAGCTCCATAAGTGTGAGGGAACTGAGAATTTTTCAGGGACATGTCTGGGGTTAGATAACTAAAAACATAATGAACATGAGGGTTTTTCTTGGGGACGGGGGCGGGGGGTGAGTGGACAGGGGACCTCCTTAAAACCTGTCATGTGGAATTTATTTTATCTTTTCATGTTTGTCATTCACAATGAGCAGAACTCAGTAGTAGAAAAAAATTACAAATGGAAGATTGAAAGAAGTTCATAATTTTATACCAACTGCTATCTCCAATATGGAAAGTCAAAATAGTATGTTAAAGATTCTAAATTTTAAAATTACATGCTATGCTATTCTTAATCAGAGAAACATTTGTTTAAGTGTCAACTATGTGGAAACCTAATGCTACACTGTACAAGGTTCCATAAAATTGGTTAGGAAATAAACAATCTACAGTAGCCAAACATGTCTTGATATTTTTAGGTAGACGTGAATACACATAAATTATGTAAGCTTTTTAACAAAAAACTCCAAGCTCCCAACATAATGTTAAGAATATGCCACATTCCCTATCCAGTTTGGCTTAGTGGGTAGAGCTTCGGCCTGCAGATTGAAGGGTCCCAGGTTTGATTCCAGTCAAGGGCACATGCCTGGCTTTAGGGCAAGATCCCCAATGTGGGGCATACAGGAGGCAGCCAATCAATGACTCTCCATCTCTAATCAATGATGTTTCTACCTCTCTCTCCCTCTCCCTTTCTCTCTGAAGTCAAAAAAAGAATATGCCACAAATATTTAATGATGGATTTACAATAAAGAAAACACAGAGAGTTGATATATTTATTTAATATTTATTTAGCAGCCATTCTCTTTTTAATTACTTGGAATAATTAGTTAAGAAACAACAATGGCTGACTGTGGATCTGATTGTAACTTTAAACTATGCACACATTTTCATACCTGATATCTTGAAAAAAGCCTGAATATGAAAAGCACTCTATAAATTGCTCTGGAATTAGGTTGACATAAAATAAAAGGGGCCAAATAAGTCTATAGCTAAGACAGTGATTAACTTTATGCACTTGACTTTTTAGTTCATATTTCCCATATTCAGATGGGTCAACTAAATTGTGAACTCAAGTGTCAGTTAAAGGGCAAGAAATATATAAGGAAAAAGGAGAGAAATAGTTAAAATTAAAGATCTTAAAAATCCTCAAGGATCAACGTGTCTTTTTTATATGATGGTTATAACATGTTTGTGAAACATTATTAGCCCCTATTATAAACAAACTCATAATTTGCATGTATTTAAACTGTATTCTTCTAAATAACAAAACTAGAAATTATTATAAAGTTGGTATATTTGAGCCTTGGCTTGTGCGGCTCAGTTGATTGGAGCATCATACCACACACTGGAAGGTTGTAGTTTGATTCCCAATCAGGGCACATGCCTAGGCTGTGGCTTGATCCCCAGTCAGTTGCATGAGGAGGCAACCAATCAATGTTTCTCTTTCACCTCAATGTTTTCTCTCTCTCCCTCCCTCCCTCCCTCTTCCTCCCTCCCTCCCTCTCTCTCCCTCTCTCTAAAAAATAATCAATAAAAACATACTTTTAAAATATTGGTATATTTGAGCTTTAGGAAAAATCTCTAAAGTATAGGAAAAAGAAATTCATATTAATACTTTCATGTTGCTACAATAAATTCCTCAAACATATAGGAAACTTTCTAAGTGGTAGACAGACATTGCATTGCATAACTGTTCAGATGCAAGAAAGTTAACTATAAGGTATTGGGAAAGAAGTGTGTATACACACACACACACACACACACACACACACACACACACACAACCAAAATCTATACTTTTGTCACAAAGACAAAATAAAAATTATAAATTACTAAGCATATCTGAAATTTGTATTCATTTCTGAATTGCTGTGCTATCAAATACCAAATGTTATTTTTCATAACTTTCCAAACAACAAGTATTTAGTCTTTTTACAAATTTCATGGTAAATTATGTTATTTTATGATTACAACTTAAAAATCTGGAAGACAGGGAGGACTGTTGAGTGAAGAGCTCTATGTAATATGCTGTAAAGAAATCTAAGACAATGTAAAGTATATATGTTACACGAAGCTGTATACCTGAAGCCAACACAAAATAATATTGAAAGTCAACGTTGATAGAAAAATAAAATAATGAGACTTAATCTCAAAAAATAAAAGAAATCTAAGACTGCAGTGGTTTGTGTATAGAAAGAGACAAGAAAAAAGTACTTGTGAAGTTACATTGGGACCCAGACATTTAAGTTTAACTTAAATTTTAGTCATCTCATTTTATGTAGGGAAAAAAACATGCAAAAATACTAGAAAAAATTTATTTCAAAAGACTTCCAAGATTTTTTTTCTTTAATAGTCCCTGGGACTATCTCTCTTCATCAGTAATTCACATTTTTTATAATAAAGCAATGATTATTCTGATGATTAGGTTAAGGTAGAAAAGAATATGCACATATTTAGCTTAAGTGAGAAATATTTTCAAAATTGGTGACAAAAGAAGATTTGACTTTGGGTGGTGGGCACATGGTGCAATATATAGACCTTGTAACATAGAAACCCACACCTGAAACCTATATGTTCATGTTGACCAGTGCCACCCCAATCAATTTAATAAATAAGTATTAAATAGTAAAGAATGGTACTGATATTAGTGAAGTGTTAGTGTATATGCCAAAAAGCTATACAAAAGTCATATAAATTCACAACTTCACAAATACCAAAATTCCAGCAAATGTTTTACTCACTTTTACGTATCAACTAACTTTGTGCAATCATTAGTTATATAAAGATCTTTCTGTGCTGTACTATAGCTAGTCCATATAAAATTATAATTACTATATACATTAAAACTGTCCTAGGCATGTTGCAGATATTCTAATGTCTTCTGTAAAATTCAAGATACAGAATTGATTATACTGGCTCAGAAAATATCCACAAATCACAGGATTTAAGGCAGAGAGAAACACTATGTGTTATTACATCAACTTTTTGCATTGAATAGTAAAGATCTAGAAAGGCTATATGGAAAGGGCAGATAAAATTGGTATTAAAGTTTCGACCATGATGTTATAGTGAATTAAATTATCTATAATATAAAATTGAATTCTAAATTTTAACTGCAAGCCCTATTATTTCAAAATAGAAAATATTTTTTTTAGATTAATAGGATGCCACACATTACCTTAAATATTTTATATGCCTAAATATTTTATATGCCAAGTTCTTAGGGTTCACAATCATCTATCTGTGTGACTTTACAACTCAAGCACAAGCAGAGCTCTATAGATGTCCCATAAAGTTCTATAGCCTGGGAGAAACTTTTCCTTTAAAGAGTCAGACTCGTGGCTGATACATCTGATGCATGTTATATAGGTTGACAGAGTATTTTTGTTCAAAATGTGTCCTGTCATCTGCGTGTCCTTTATGTTTTTCTGCACCAGTGACGCTTGTATCAGACTGATCGTTCTCAAAGGCATAGCTGAGTCTCTCTAACGTTGTCACAGTCAAGTAGTTTTTATGCACTTCTGGCAGGCCCAGGCTTCATGCCTAAGCAGTTTTACCCGGGAGCCAGACGGGGGGTGATCAGAACCAGTACATGTTCGCCATGAGGAATCCAGGCTGGATGAAGAATTGACAGTCAGACCCTGACAGTGTGACAGGTAATACATATTCCACAGGTCTAGATGGACTGCAAGGCCATTTGTTGGAGGCCAATATACATATTAGGTAGGAGATTTAAGACAATGTTTTTCTAGATGGGATTCCAAATTTAGTCGCCAGAAGAAGCATTGATAAATTTCTCAATCACTTCTGCTGCAGCCCATCTTGGAGCTAGGCGACTTGAGAACGATTTCTGTTCTTCTGAGCGATAACCAAGGAGAATTAACCCACGCTGCATGTCTTCTAGGTTCGAGTGAGTGATAAAGCCAGACTCTTAATATTCCAAGGTAATAGAAGACAGCATGACCAACCTCATCCAGACACCTCATTTTATTAATTAATTTTTTACCTCCATCCCTCCCTGTCCCTCCAACCTCTTTTCAGGGCACCTAATAAAAAATGAAATTGAGTGTAAAGGTCTACCATCTTTCCTGGGCTCACCCTTAATAAGAAACAAAACACTGAGAAAATGTAAAGAAAAAAAACACTTGGTGCTGAATCATCAGTAATTAAAGGAGAATTACAAAAGAAAGTTTAAGTATCAAGAATCAAATTTTGAAGGGGGGATAATGTCAACACTGAAATAATTTTTAATAAAAAAATTCTATGTATGTTGTCTTTTTAGTGGTTTAAAACACTAAAAATGAAGGAAAAGAACGTATTTCGATACTAAGTTGCATTGATACTTAGACTATTTAGAAGTGAATCAAGTTTGAGTTTCTTTAGGTCAGACATTATTTAGTCTAGTGGGTTTTGTTTTTTCTTATTTACTTTAATTAGTCTTTCTGGATTGTTCGCTTCTGTTTTCATCTATTTTATTAATCACAGTTTGCTCACTTCCATTTAATTCACTTCAAGGCATCTTTTTGAATTTAATTCAAAACATTTCCAGGGAAAAGGAAATAATCACACATTTTTAAAAAATCATCATGATAATTTAAATTTTGTCTTCCTAAACAAAGTAACTTTGGTGAGCTACCATCTTGATGCTTAAAATATCTGGACAGGGGAGTAAAATCAGAAGCAAAATGAAAATACCATATGTAAATAAAGAAATCAAAATATATTTTGCTTATAACATTTCAGAATACTGTTATCAATGCTTTTTAAAATATGAAAAATGCAAAGTGAAACTTAATAATAAAGAAAATTGTTTCATGAAAAAGAAGTATTGTACCTGTTATTTTGAAGTGCAAGTGCTCTAGTTTTAGCACTGATGTCATAAATAAAATGTTGTTGGGTAATTATTATCCAATTTTCTGCTGTGGTATTTCCCAAGATGGTGATAACAGGATAACCCATCTGGAGTGTCCACTGGTCCATTACTTCTTGTATATTTACATATTTCCCATTCCTTTTTAAAGCCTTTATAACCAAATTGGTATAAATTAGTTTTATAAACATGAATTATAATTATCATTCAACCATTTTCATTTTTACCTTTATGATTTACCTAAATATGAAAACATTTAAAATCAGTGAAGCTAGTATAATGTTAGTAAAATTAATCTTCTTGCCTTAACTTACCTTCATGCATATATATACATATATATACATATATATGTATATATATACATATATATATACATATATGTGTATATATATACATATATATGTATAAATATATGTTTTACTTAATGGAAGATAAAACATTTTATTGGTAAAGGAAGTACTGGCATGATCATTAAGTATGTCCAGTATGTCCAGTATCAAATTTAAATATTTCTTATTCATTTACATATAAAAAACAATTTCTTTAAAATGCCAATATTTCTAACACCATATTAAAATTATATTTCAGAAGTATTGACATGTTTGAAAGTAGGCAAGACATATTTTACTATCATTTATAGTTTAAGTAATTTTAAATACTATTCTCTTTAAAATATATATATATAAAACATATCAAAATTAAACACAAAAGCAATATGAGAAGTATAAAAAAATTGTCAGTGACTTATAAACTCAATTCAAGTATTCAAGAAGAGGTATTGGTATCCAAGCTTCCTATACGTTACCTCTGAAAGTGTATTCCAGAGATCATTTCTGGCTGCATTGCCATATTTATGAATGGTTAAATAATCCTACAAAGAATGCAAAAATGTAATTACAATTCAAAGGCTAAGCAATTTTCAGTAAACACATTCAATTCTCAATTCAATTAATCATTTTCATTTGTTGGAATTGCATTAACAAGAAAGACATGCAGAAAGATGAAGAATTTCATTTTTAAATATCCCAAAAAATATTTAACTACAGTATACTTCTTAATTAAGTCATTAAAAAATATCTTAAAAATTATTAATCTCTTAAAATTGTTTTCATAGGCCTGATCTCTCTTTATGGATTTCCAGGTTCAAAGATCTTCTTCTAATTTAGCAAGTCAACTTTGGGCAATTTTGAAGAAACTATCCCTTCAGTGAAATATATTAGGTAAAACTTTCATATAAGGCTTTCATGTTCAAGTGCTAAAAAAAATGTTTTTGTTTTACGGAATAAAAAATAAAAAAGAGCCCATCCAGTGTGGCTCAGTGGTTGAGCGTCCACCTATGAACCAGGAGGTCATGATTCAATGAGTCAATTCCCTGTCAGGGCACACGCCTGGGTTTTGGACTCGATTCCCAGGAGGGGGCATGTAAGAGGCAGCCAATCCATGATTCTTTCTCATCACTGATGTTTCTAGCTCTCTCTCCTTCCCACTTCCTGTCTGAAATTAATAAAAATATATTTAAAATAAAATAAAATAGAACCTGATTGATACAAGCAGATGTGAAGAGGAACTGCTTTGTGAAAAGAGGGATGATTATCTTCACAACCTGTCAAGTTCCCTAGTCTTTCTGCAAAGAGCAGGCTGCCTAATACAAAATGATACATACTTATTTCCATGAGTCTGAAACACATACTAACATTTAACAAGAAAAAGTCAATCCTACATTTATTTAATATTCTGGGGCTTGGATTTCCCATTTCCCATTTTCAATCATGTGAAGTTAAACCTACACACTTTCCATCTGATTCATGTCTGCTCTCTTCTGTGAAGCATGGTTTATGTCACTGTGAATGCGCTATTTAGTTATGGCTCCTTGGCATTATGTTTTTTCTGAATCCAAAGTAGGAAACAGTGTTTTATTTTATAAAACGGAGAGTCCCTTCCTTCATTTGAAATTCCATCATCTCTTCTACATGTAGGTGGTAGACAAAATCCTAATTTACATCACAGTACTGAAATTAAAAAAAAAAAATGCTGACTCCTTACAGTACTTTATTTAGAGTGGAATACTTTGGGGATAAAGTTGAGAAAGCAAATTTTCTGAAATACAAATTATAGCACCTGTGACATATTCAGCTTTGTTGGAAACTCACAGCCCAGCAAACGGCCACTCCCACCTAATCAGACTCCTAGAGATGCAATGCCCAACACTAGCTTCCAACCACAAATACATCATCATCTTCAGGCACTGTGAATAACTTTGTTGAAAAAACACATCTCTGAATACCCAATCTGAATCCCAATATTGACTTTGAATGTGCCATAGAAGGAATTTTCAATTTGAACCCAGGGGCCTGGATTAAAATAAATCATTTCAGACTTCATTGTCAGAATTATCTTTTATGCTTTTGCAGCAGTTACATGAATACATTTGAGAACATTGGGAATTATGAAACATAAATTTGAATTTTATTTTAGTGATGCTATAATAAAAAGTATTAAAATTAGAACTATGATTGGTTTCAGTTTATGAACAGTGCTACTAGGATAAACTTAAATAGGGAAAACGGAATACTACATGGACCTTGAGAGTTCAATATATAGCTACATAATTCTCTTCTATGACAGATCCTAATAACACGACTGTTCATGATATGAGTTGACCTTGACCCAATATTGATCATCAAGTGGATCTCTTAGTTCCCTCGCCAATCCAGAATGAAGTGCAAATTCACATTGCAAGCTGAAATGGCAACTCCCTGGATGCAGGAAACAACTCCCATTTGCCCACCTCAATATTAAGGGCAACAGCATGTCTTCTTGGACTCCCAGCAGTCCCAATGTTTGGGTGTTATTGGAACTCTACCTAGGTCAACTTCTTTTTCTCCCCAAAAAGCCCCAAATGTTTTCATTAGTTATTTTAGCCTTCCTCTTGCTAAAATAACTAATGAAAAAGAGTCATATTTTAAATTAAGGAAATTTTGCTTTGTCTTTGTAGAATTACAAAATAACTTAAAGAATCGTGAACATGGCTTTTGATAATCAATCATTTATGTATTTATTCATTACACAAAATGTATGGCTCATGGAGCTTTCTGGGTGCTGGGGAAATAGTGGTGGCGAAAAGGTTATGGAGAACAACTGCAAATACTGGGATGTGATTTGAGGAGAAAGGTTTCTGTGACCGAAAATTCAGAAGTCTTGGTACAATAACCACTTGACAAGTTGAAGTCAAACATTTGGTATATGATTAGATAAGATTTCAATTTCCTTTCAAATCTACAATGAATATGGAAGTAGCTGGAGTTAAGAATCAAAAAGAGAAATTTGTTTATATTATATGTATGAAAGTCAATCAACATTTTGGAGAATTGACATTTTGATATAAAGTAGAAGAATGTTTTAATATTAACTAAAAAATTGTGGCTTTGCTGCACAAAATATTTAACAAACAACAGAATTGTTGAAAAGAATAAAACAAAGATGACCCCTAAGATATTCTTAAGGGGCATAATCAATGGCCCTTAAAAGTGAAAAGCATATTAAGCAACAGCATATTCTCATACATAAAAGGCAGGCTACAGCAATGCTGACCCACATTCAGACCTGGCCTAGGGCAGAGGAAAGACAGAATTTCTTCCTGGGAATCTCTCTTTAAGAATTAAGAAAACTTCCCCTCGAATGCTGCATCAAACTTCCCATGTTTCCCATGTTTCAGAAGGGCATCATGTGCTCTAACAGAAATCTGTTCATGAAGTATTAGGAAGACCTGTGTTGGGCCAACAGAAGGCAGGAGACCCAGTCCTGTGAAGTATGTGGTTGTATAATAGAGGGTGAGAACCTGAACAAAATCAGAAAGAAGAGGAGGCTAGCTTATGGGTAAACCACCTACACTTTTCTCCAAGGAGATGCAAGTCTGGGGCTCAGTGATGCTGGGAAGCAGGGTCCGTCCTACTTGTAAGACTAGTCTGGGAAATGCCAGGTATAGTCAGACATTGATTTCTCTGACTATGTGACAAGGAGGTTGAAGCAGGGGTGTGAAATATTGTTTCTTTCTGTTAAGAATAAAAGTTCCTCAAAAATTTTGTAGTGGGCGTATTTCACTCTGTTGGCTTTCCAGCATTTAAACACCACTTTTATATGAGGCAATAACTCACCATGGACTCTTGGAAGAAAGTGAGGGTTCTGCCTCTCACTTGAAATGAAAGGACCAGAATCCTATATAATAAAAGCCTAATATGCAAATCTACCAAACAGGGGGCAGGTCTGGTGAGCAGGTGGCACCAGGCCAGCCATGGGTGCCACGGGTCACCTCCCGCAGAGGGAGGCCAGGCTGTGGGTTAGGCCTGCTCCCTGGACATCCCCCAAGGGCTCCAGGTCTGCAAGAGGGCACAGGCCAGGCTGTGGGACACCCCCAACCCCAAGTGCACGAATTTTCATGCACCGGGCCTCTAGTTCTAAATATTCCCTCTCTACTCTCCCTGGCTACAGCATTGGCATGTCCCCTAGCCTCAGAGAAGTCAACATTCCCATTGGGACTATGAACCCTACAGGATCCAAGAAATAGGGATAGTTGAAAGATTGTTCCCTATGATGCTGACAGTGAGGTTCCAGGGGTAACCAGCCGCGCTGATGGTACAAGTGAACCAACCAGTCTGTGGCACAAGCTTGGCTGCATTTCTTAAACTCGGAGTCTCCCTTAGTTCTTATTATCTGTTTTCTAAGCCTGATCCTCCAGTCTTCCCAGTGATTCTAAGAGCTACCCTACATCCTGCTAATAAATTTCTTCCTGCTTAATTTAACTAGTTTGTTTCTGTTGCTTGCACCACCCAAACTCCAACTTATACAACACTAATGATTGATATACACAAAATAAAGACATTTTAAATTTTATTGTTAACCCCAGAAAGAAAAATAGAAATTATTTCTCACAACTACAAAATGAAAAAGAAAGAACACCTAGTTCTATTTAGTAAATCCACTCTGTTTTCAATGTATTATGAACAGTAAATATTGGAAATAGAGGTAGATACTTAAATTTAAAAAGAGAGGCAGACAAGGAGGTTGGAGAAAAAGGTATGAAAGCTCCACAGACAGGAATGCATGTGAGTAACAACGAAAACAAAACCACGTTAAATTTTTGTCTTAAAGCTCTTAGAGTAGTTTTTAAACTGAGAACCATAAGCTCTCAAATTAAATGTTTATGTGTATATTATTACAGAAATTCGTGGACAACAAAAGTAGGTTAAAAGCTGCCAGATTACATCAATGTCACACAAGGAGTGGATAAAACCCATGTGCAGTCCGGCCCATGCACTGCAGAGCATGTTTCCATATTCCCTGACCTTCAGAAATAGAAGCAAGGAGACTAAAACAATGACAGATAAACAACTAAACACAATAAAGCTAAAGTACAGATCAATATATTATTTTGCTAAATACCTGAAGACTATTTGGAGATTATGAGATTAAGTAAAAATGCAAAGAAAATATTTAAAAAGCACTATGCAAAATAAATGAATATTTAAATTTTCATTCTATTAGATAAGAACTAAGTATAAAGAGATATAAATAATTATTTGACATTTATTATTAAATTATAACACATTTCCAAGTAAGAAACCCAGTAAAATAGGAACAATTGACAAATTTTTTGAGGTATGGAAGTCTCTGAACATCAGACACAATAAAAAAGAGGTGAAATTTATAAAAGAAAGTTATTTGAATGGATAAAACAAAAATAGTTGAAAAGTCAGTTATATCATTGTTTGCATGCCATTTTTATTTCCATTTTTAAATGTATATTTAACCTAAATTGACTTTTAGAAGTTGCTCACTTAGATATAGCCATATTCAGATATTTCTCTAGGAACA